CTTGGCTTTTGGGTGGTCGAAGAGAAACAAGAAAATGCAGAGAGCAGCGAAGGGAAACCGTGTTTGGGAAAGAATCTGAGAGTGGGGTATGGGCAGGCGAAAATGTGTGCACTATAAAATTATCAGCCCCCTACCTCACAAGAAAAAGATTTTAGCCCTCACATCTTTTTTTTTTTTTTTAACTCAGTTAAAAACATATCATTTCATCAAAACTATACGGCATTAACATAAGAAATTTTTATCTCATTGATAAGAATAAATTACAAACAGATAAAGTACAACTGGAGGTAAAATAAAAAGTAGATCAACTTCAACATAAGACAAATAAAAGAAGGGCAATAAGTATTTCACACAAAACAACCGCTAAGGAAATAGATATTTACAAATTCTTGTGGTTGACCATTTCAAAGAACTAGACACCCTTCAATCTATTATTGCATAAATTGCGTCTGTCCTCTAGAATGCCATGGCTGGAACATGAGAGCAAGTGGCGGCCATCTCCTAAATTCTTCATGATTGGCTTGTTGGCCGTCAAATTTGAGCAACCCAAACAAGAAACAAGAAACAGAAAGAAAAGAGAACGAAGACCACCAATAGGGCCACAAAAGAAACCGGTAGACCACCCAAAGTGGTCATCAGACATTGGAGCATGGTTGGTCGGCTCCACCATACTTGAGAAGTGTCAAAAGCTCGAGAAGCTGGGAGGCTTCTGAGCACCCAAAAAGGGGATGAAAACTAGAGAAGTTGGGAGGCAAATACTGGAGAGTTCTACAAGAGAGAGAGAGAGAAGAGAGAGAACCAAAATCTAGCCCTCACCTCTTCAATTTAAAGAAAGAAGCCTTAAATTGACGCTGATGGTCACGTGCCTCATGTGCTTGTTAGGATTCCGTCAACCTTCTCTATGTCAGCTCCATGCAACCCATTTTTTGTTAGGAAATGGTTTGGGATAATTTTTTTGTATCACTTTTTAGTATAACTTGATATGTTATTTAAATGATTAGTTCTTTTATTTTATGTGGGACATGTGATATTGAATACATTTACTCATTTAATAACATGTGAAGAAAATTATATCAAAAAGTGATATAAAATGGTTGTCCCTATAGCACCACTTTTTCTTGTTGGGAAAAGATTTTGAGACAAGCTTTTTGTATCACATTTTGATATAATTTGATGTGTCATTTAAATGATTTGTTCTATTAATTCATGTAGAATCCATGATATTGAATGCATCAACTCATTTAATGACATATGAAAATTGTATCAAAAACTGATATAAAAATATTATCTCTATAGCACCATGCTTTCTTGTCATTGTGATGTTGCCAACGTGGAAAACAAGTAAATCAGTAAATGACTAAATTAACCTTATCTTCATCCTCTTCACTTCGCCTGCTACCTTCCTTTTCAAACTCCAGGCAAGCACTTGGATTTTCACCAATGACAAGGTTTGAAAAAAAAAAAAAAAACTAACAACTTTAGATCCTATCACAAAAAAAGTAATGTAAACCGCCAATAACAAGTTGAAAATTAATTAAAAGAGATAAATACTATAGGGGCAGGGAAGAAGTAGATATTACGACATTGGAGAGTGTGAGGGTGTCTCGGATTTGGAGAGATATTATCAATATAGGACAACGATCTGTAAGATTACAAGATATGTTGGTCAAGGGGTTCAAATGGGTGGTAGGGGTGGGTTATCGAGTGGGGTTCTAGAGGTCGGTTTGGGTGGGGGAGAAATCTTTAAGGGAATTGTGTCCTCGATTGTTTGAGTTGGCCGTAAATAAGGAGGGATTAGTTAGTGAGATGGGGGGTTGGGAGGAGGGTAGTTGGCGTTGGAATATAATTTGGAGGAGAAGGAGGTTTGGAAGAGAGAAGGAAGAGGAATTGATGTTGTGGGAGGTGTTGAGTAGAGTTGGTATTAAGGTGGGGGTTGAAGATCGTTGGCAGTGGATTCATGGTTCAGATGGGAAGTACGTGGTGAAACAAGCTTATGAGTTTTTAGAATCGACAGAATCTATTCTTAATGATTGGTTGTGTAAGTTAATTTGGGGTTGCTTAGTACCTTCTAAAGTAAGTTTCTTTGGGTGGAGATTATGCCTTCAGAGACTTTCAACAAAATGGAGTTTGCAAAAGAAAAGGGTGGTGTTAGAGGGGGTGTCACGCCCCCAAAACCCAAATTCGAGGCGCGACAGACGCCGTGCACTCGTGAGTGGGTCCCACAAATGCACAAGACTCGGAACTTATCCAATTCACATCTGACAATCCCATAACTCAGATCGGATATTTCAAAATTTCTTTTCTATGTCCACATGACTTAACCTCAAAATCTCCAGATCAAATCTCTTATAAACTAACAATCCACTAAATGAATTTATACGATCTCCAATTACAATCTAGCTTGCAATATCATCATTTACATCTAAAATCCATATTCAATTACAAGATGGCTAGCCTTCTAACTCGTCACTCCCCTTGGTTTCCCCGTCCTCGGTTTCACTTCCTGAAATGGTGGACAAGGAAAACTATGAGATAACTCAGTAAGTAAATATGGATAGCCCCTGGGTAAAAATATAAGCATGCCAGATAAACCATGTAAGTATAACAGAATTTTCACTGATAAACCGTAAATGTAGAAATCAAATTCGGTTCAATAGCAAAACGTTCAATGACAGAACCGTCAATGCAAAATCAGATTCAGTTCACTTGCAAAGCATTCAATGACAAACCGTCAATTAAACTCATAGCATGCCAACAAGTGTAATCATGAAAACAGATACAGTGCGGGCACGAAATAGACGTCTCCTCTATAGGTCACGGCCAGCGTTTATAAACCTCCCACTGGCGGGCACACGATTTCCTGGTGTATAACCCCCACTAGCAGGGTCACTCAAACGAACCGGTTCTATCAATAACATGTCGACATGTGCTAGCGTTTATAAACCTCCCACTAGCGGGCACACGAATAACATGACCATATCGGATACAAAACAGGCAGAAGTTCACAGGAAAATCACAATTCACAATCACAATTCACAATCACTTTCAGATCATCACTTTCAGATCATCAGGACAGTCAATCTCCAATCTCAGAAACAACCGGAAAATCTCCATGTGAGCATGGATTTAACAGAAAACTCAGAATTTACAAAAACTCTCAGTTCATCAAAACAGTTCAGTCAATTTCCAAATAGGCATGCTCAACTTCAGAAAAACAATGAAATTCTCATTTTCATTCCAATCATGCTCAATTCCAGAAAATCAATAAAATCCTCATTTTTATTCCATTCATGCTTAATTCCAGAAAAATAGTGAAATTCTTATAGAAATCATCACAATTTTCATTCCAGTTTAACCACACTCAAATGCTGATAAAATTAATTTAAAATCAATTTGAACCTTGCCACCATCTCAAAAACAATTTAAAACATGCTTTAAAATCGAAGGGCTTTACCATAATTTACTTACCTCACTTCACATAAAACTGAGCACTCAATTCACGTACTAACTGACAGAACGATCGGGAACCATAATTCTCCAGCTAAAACTGGAGCTGCAGGGGGGGGAGGCCGACGGCATGTGCAGGGGAAATTCAAGAAAGACCGAAAATCACACCCACAAACAAGAGCAGCCGGCGGACAAGGGAGGAAGAGGAGAGCAAATCCGGGAGCTTCCTGCAGGGGGGAGATTTCTGGGTTCTAAATCAGGTTCTTGGACAAGAAAAGGGGGGAAAAATCTAAGCTTTTACCGATTTTCCTCAAAAACTTGTTGCCGGCAGCTTAGGGGGGGGGTTTCGAGAGCTGCAGCGGAAAGAAGAAGAGCAGAATCGGGAAATGGCTGGGGAAGAAAAGAAAGAAGAAAAAGAAAAGAAAAAGGCTGATCCTTATCCAATATCTTTACTCTTTTAAGCCCCTCAACTTTCAAACTTTGGCTATTAAGCCCAAAACAATATTTCTTTCTCAAACAAGTCCCTAACTCACTTTAATGCTCTAGAAATTTTGGGGTATTACAGGGGGGCTTAATGTGTGGGCTGTGTAATGAGGAGGTGGAAGATACTAATCATGTGTTTTGTACATGTAAGGAAGTTTGGTTAATTTGGGTTAAGGTATTGTCTTGGTGGGGTATTGAGGTTGTGTTGTCGTCTATATTGGAGGGGGTAGCAGAATTTTTCTTGTATGGGTTGGGTAAGGTGGTAGGGAAGGAATTGGGAGCAAGTCTTTTTCTTGTTACATCATGGTATATATGGTATTGGAGGAATTGTAGAGTTTTCAAGGGAGATGTGGCTCTTAGGGAGGGGTTGTGGGTTATGATACAGGAAAAGACTTTCTTCTGAATCAAGAATAAAGTGCAGGGGTGTGTATTTTCTGTTAGTGATTGGAAGTTAAATCCGCATGAGTGTGCTGCAGCTATGAGAAATCATAAGAGGAGGCAAAAGGAGTTCCATCTGAACCAAAAAGGACGGGTATAGAGGTAGAA